TGGCACGGGAAGGTATGGATTGGGCACTAAGGAAGCAGAAATTTTTGGACTGAAACATGTGGTGTTCCCCTCGGCATAATGTCCCGGATTCTTTATCCGAGGAGTCTAAAAATGAATCCACAGACAGAAGGTGGTGTAACAAAGGTGGAAATTTATTAAAAGAACAAGTACAGACTCCCACATGGAGAAGGGGAAACAAGTCTTCCAGAATGGATTCCTATGTAGTGAGGGGGAAAGGGTCCCACTGAGTTCCTTTTCCCTATGGCTACAGATCCTGTGCCTTGATATTCCCTCTGATTGGTTACTAGTCCCTTTGATTACTATGGAAACTCCTGGGCTCAAAGGTTGGACCTTACCCCCTCTTATTGTTTTCCTATTCCCTTTGGGCTTTCTTTTTCTCCTTCTGGATGAAGGGCTTCCTTCCCTTTATTTTGTAAATATAGACCTTTTGCTGTCCCCAGCTCCCTCATTTTATGCAAATGTACCTGTTGCAGCTTTTCAGCTCCCCCATTCTATGGAAATATACTTTCTGTTGCTCTGCAGCCCTGTGCTTCCTCCATGGTCTCCTTAATTTTCAAAATTTCTAAAATTTCCTAAACCTGTTCTTTTTGCCCCTAAAAATTCCTGTTTCACTCTGACAGAGACAACATGAAAGACTATGCCTAGGATTTTTGCTCAAGGTCTGGAAGGGCCTACAGCCCTATTTACTCCCGTAGAGCAACAGCTCCTAACAGTGTACACAGCGCGCTTCTAGGTAAAGCCTTCCACTAAGAAACAGCATACCATGATACAAACTTCCCTTCCTGTCAGGGGTGGGCTGAAAATACGTTCCATGTTCCATTGACTCACCTCTACCGTGGCTCAAACTCCCATCCTGGCTAACTGGCATTCTTATTTGCAGCAGAGGAGCACCTGTCTGCCAGTGGCTACTAGAAATTCAAGTGCTACTAGGCTTTGTAGATTATGAAAAGCTTCCAAATGTCTGTGGCTCTATTCCTGTGGCAGACCCCGTGGCTGGTAGAAGTTAGAAAAGGAATGAAGGAAATTCCCATTGATGAATTTAGTTAGGGCAACTTAGCCACATGGACTACAGTCTCTATTCAACCCAACACTGACACCATCTGGATGGAAACAGGAATGAACCGCAGTAGCCAGTGGCCTGAACTCAGAGCATTTTGTTTTGTTGATCACTCATGTGGCTTGGCTATTAACCCAGTGCACTCACAGTGGAGCTGTTCTAAAGAAATTAACCCTATGAATTGGACAATAATAAGAAGTTAAGAGATGGATGATCATGAATAAGCCCTTGGGAGGTCAGGATACATGAGAAGACATTTGGGTTTACCTGCAAGAGCCTCAGGTAGTCCTCATTGTTTGCACATCCCAGCTTATAAAATTCCGATACCCCTGGCAATCAGGAACTTGATTCCTTAGCTTGGGTATGAACCCTAGTAAAAGACCTTCCATCAGATACAGCAGTTTGGATGTAGAGAAAGAACAGCCAGTATAGTGCCAGGGTGAGCTGACATATTTGCAAGGATGCCAGATTGCCAATAAAATACAAAAGCAACTCAGTTAGACCAGGGATATGGATGGATAACCTGGAACTAGGTAGTCATTCTGTCACATTAAGAGTAATAACTGGTTTGGTACTGACTGGCCACACCATGTAGGTGTTTACTGGGTAACCTCAGATGGGACCCGATGGTGGTATGGCACAAGTCTTTGGCTGCGGTTTCCACCAGGATAGTTGGGCCTCTACACCCTGGGTTTCCTCTGGACACAGAAGAATCTGCCCAAGGCAACAAAAATGGCCCACCTTCCTCTCCTTAAAGCTAAGTGGGCACATCCTGTTTTCCCTAGTTCCATCATTTGGTCATTGTATTTGCTCCCTTCCTTAGCCTGGGGGACATTATAGCACACATAAAGTCCTTGCTAAATTCACCAACAAGCCTTAAATGATTGCCAGCAAAGCCTGTCCTTACTCAACACTAAAAGGTCTCTATGTATGAGGAAAGCTGTCCTCCAAGATAAGATGGCCCTGGACATTATTACTGCTTCACAAGGAGGCGCCTGTGACATAATCCAAACAGAATGTCTGAAGAGCTGCTAATGCATTTGTCTTTATCAAATCACATAAAAACGCACGTGATTATCCCGAGCAATCTGATATCCAGCATAAGAGGCTTAATAAATCTATGGTTTGAAACATGGGGCTTTTGTAAAGAAAAAAAAATATTGTTGCTTATTTTATAAATAGTTAACCTATGTTTTCTCTTGCATGTGCCCATAGTTTTTGCTGTGATATCTGCCTCCAATGTAGTCAGTTGCCAAACTAGCAACCTCCCTGCTAACAAAACCCCTGTTGCCCTGACCTGTTTGGCTCAGTGGATAGAGTGTTGGCCTGCAGACTGAAGCATCCTGTTCAGGTCAGGGGCACAATCCCAGGTTGCAGTTCGGTCCAGGGGCCAGGAGGAGGGCATGCAAGAGGCAGCCAATCAATGATTCTCTCTCACCATTGATGTTTCTCTCTCTCCCTCTCCCTTCCCCTCTGAAATCAATAAAAATATATTAAAACACACACACACACACACACACACACACACACACACACACACACACACCCTTGTTGACAGCCCAGGGAGCAGAGGCAGGCATATAAATCCTAACAGCGGGCAATCATCAAGCAGTCCTGACCTCCGGGTGACCCAAGACCTAAATGTGGGCGGCCAGAGGCTCCTCCCCCCCTCCCGCTTCTCAGGAATGTACCATCCTGCCCACCGTAGCCCCAGGGGGAGTCACAGTCAAGGACACAGCCTCAAGAGACCATTTGCAGCCTCACCTCGGGAGACCATCTGGACAGAATGAAGGACTGAACCCAGGTAAGGCCTCTACACAGAAACTTTGAAGGTTCTAGAACGCAGGTGCAGAGATAAACTTGTCTTTTGCCCCCCAGCTAAGCCTCGTTTGTGAGTTCTCCTGCTTAGTAAACACCGCCACCCACCAACCTGGATATGGCCCCGACCTTTCCTCCACCGCTCCTTCCACTAGCTCTGTGCATGGAGGCTACTTGCACATTTTTCCTGGGAAGCTCCCAAATTTGGGAACCAAAATTATTATTTCAAAAGGTAGTATTTTTGTACTTTATTTGTATGCTCCATTATATGGCCTAATAACTGGAATCCCAGTTTCCTAAGTGACTTGGCCAAGGTCAAATAAATACCAGCATCGGAATAGAGGCCTGAATTCTGATTTGCTCACTTCCAATGACCTGAGCTGCCCCCTTTCTCCTCGGTGTCAGAGAAACACTGAGCTCAGATCTTCAGAGATCTGACATTTGCACAGCGCATCCTGGAAGATGTGGACAGTGAATTCTGGGGTCAAACTGAAATACGATTTTGGAAAGGAGAGGCCAAGTGAAATGAGATTAGCTTGCAGGGACAATGTCATCCTTCACTTGGGCCACACTTACCAGATATATATTTTTAAAATATATTTTATTGATTGTTTTTACAGAGAGGAAGGGAAAGGAATAGAGAGAAATATCGATGAGAGAGAAACATCAATCTGTCTTCTGCACATCCCCCACTGGGGATGTGCCCGCAACCAAGATACATGCCCTTGACCGGAATTGAACCTGGGACCTTTCAGTCTGCAGTTGGACACTCTATCTATGAGCCAAACTCGTTAGGGCCCAAATATATTTTTAAAGATTGTCTTGCCAAAACTGGTTTGGCTCAGTGGATAGAGTGTCGGCCTGCCAACTGAAAGGTCCCATGTTTGATTCCGGTTAAGGGCATATACCTTGGTTGCGGGTATATCCCTAATAGGGGGTATGCAAGAGGCAGCTGATCCATGTCTCTCTCTCATCGATGTTTCTAGTTTTCTATCCCTCTCTCTTCCTCTCTGTAAAAACTCAATAAAATATATATATATATTTTTAAAAAAAGATTGTCTTTATGTGTGCCAAAGATTTCAAGCTACCTAGTGTTACTGTACAGATTCTAGTCCAATTTATTTGTGTGACAAAAGACTGTAACTTAATGTTCTCCTATATTTGAATGGGAAACATTTCCATTTGTGAATGTTTTGGAAATCTCACCAAACCAGCTAAGCCAGGACATCCAGGAGCTTATTTCTTGAACGCCATGATTCAATAAAGATGCATACCATACCATTATTGTTGTGATGCCCACCTCTCCCCAAACGACAACAAAATATATGTCTTGGATTGGTTGACACAGATAGTCTCAGAGCACCATGCCAGAAATGATGCCCTTGGGATCATTACTTTTCTTCTTAAGGCAGGCCACACAAAGAATCGTTCAGCTATCTAGACCAAACGCTCTTCAGCAGATTTCAGAACTGCTTAGGAGGTTGCCAGAGAGGACACACCAATGCAGGAGCCACAGCCAGAGTCAGTGCCACATGCAGCATGTGCTAGAGCAGTGCCCTCCTACCCCCAGACGGCAGCGTGGCCCAGTGCTGTGTTCTCTGAAGTTCTAATGCAACTGGTGCAACCCCATGACCTTATTAACTGGAGCACCTCCGTGGGTCCACCCATGAGCCAGGGAGATTCCCCCGTCTGTGAACTGGGAGTGGCTTCTTGGTTCTCAATCAATAGGCAGAGCTTCTGACAGCATGGGAGAATGCTCAAGCCAACTGGGGGAAGTACAGGCTTAGGTTTGAAGCTCTTGCTCAAAGCCAGAGAAAGAGGAAGTTCCGTGAGTGCTCAGCAGCCGGCTCCTCCCCCTGCCAAATTTTTAACTACACATTTCCCCCATTAAATCAGAATCGGTGATACCTATATAACTGTGTAGTGTGTGGAAATTGAAAATCATATTGAAAAAATAGCGATATTGTTGACTATACAAGGCAATGTCTCCAAATCGAGTAATGATGCGAAGTGTGTGGTTAACCGTAACTACGCAGGAAGTGGTTTCATTTAAAAGTTTTTGTGCTCACCCCCACCCCCTCCCTTTTTTGTTTCTTCAGTTCTGAAATTAAACAGCATCCAACATAGGCCTAATCTTACGACATGTGACTTCACTGTTTTCCGTTTTTGCTGAAAGAGTCATTAACAGTAACAAGTTGATGGCAGTTTCAATAAACAAGTCAACACGGAGAAAAGGTAAGTAAGTTTTAACTTTATATTGAACATGAAATTTAAACTGGAAAACATTGGACAGATTAGCCTAACATTTCTACAAAAATGTGATGTTTTCACCTGTGATTGAAACATAAGCTTGTTCCCTTTGGTTGCAGGCAAGAATATTCTTTTCATATTTGCAGCTGTCAAATTCTCAACTTCTTTATTGAGATGTTATACTCGGGTCTTTTACTCAGATTTCATAGTAAAATGTTAAAGACAAAATAAGGTATATTTTTAGTGTGAAAGTGCTTGTAAAAATAACTACCAGAGAAAATGCAAAACTTTGCATTTTTAACTGGTCTTATAAAAATATGTACTATTTGAGATCCAGCAAATGAAAAAAAAAAGGCATTTTAACAATAAGAAATAACATATAGATTGCAATGTGAGAAATACTGTAAAGTGCTGTAATGAAGTTACCACTAGAAACCCTTGAAAACGTGGTTATTAAATGAATAGTTTATTAAATAGCTATTAAAAAGCGCAAAGTTTAAAATGCAAAAGAAAGCTCTGTACTTTTGGATGTATTTTTTTTTTCTAAATTTTACTTAAAATGTAAATGAAATAAGTGGAAGTTTTATTTCATAAGCAAAACTGTATGTTTAAAACAGAGGTCACAGCTGACTTCACCGAAGGTTACTTGTGGGGAAAGAGGCAAATTAGCGATATACTTTTGTTATTTATATAATTATATAATTTTCCTTCCTTGAGATTTTCCAAAATAAAAACTCTAGTAATAAAAAAGGTTTTCTTAATCATAAATTGACAAGAACTTTTATATTGACTTCTTGCTTTTATAGAATGTTTCTGGTGCTGTAACATGTGCAGAAAATACTAAAGTGTTGCTAATCTCAGAGACAAATACTAAAATAAATCTGACTGTAGATTTTTGAAAGAATTTTAATAAAAGACCCCGATATGATCCACTCTTTTCTAATATTATTTTTATTGTGCTGTTGGATGGGGGAAGAGATGACCCCCACAACACCTATAGTTTTGAGTTATTAAAAATGGTTACAGGGTTGATAAGTGACAACAATTTTCTTTTCTTGTCTTCTATTGAAAGACATATATAAATGTGTTTTTCTTTAATATGGTCAAGTTAGCAGGAAATTATTAGGCATACTAGTACACTCCATTTTAAGACCTTTTCAATTGTGAATACTGAAGCTTGCTACTTGTTAACTTAAAATTATCACCAAAAACAGATTAAGATTTGGTGTTCAATACATTTTTTTTTTATTGCTAGAGTGTGAAAAGATCTTGGCAATATACATTTGCTTTGATATAGTGATTAGCTTTTTAATTTGCTGCATTACCTCACAATGGAAAACATTATTTAAATCTGCCTTCAATATTATGGTTCTGACCCTCTGTATCTATGTAATTCAGATAGTTTGGGTTGATATGTTATTAGCTTATTTCATTTTATTATTAAAAAGTTGCATGAATAAACATATGTAGTACTTACACATTAGAACAAAATGAATGTCCATATAAGCATTTGATACTGAAAAAAAAGATCAGTATAGATTTTTAGATTGAGTAATATTTTAAAAGCCAAATTCTCTATAAAACAATGGTTTCTTGCAGAAACAATTAAAATAAAAACATTTCATGGAATATATGTAAAATTAAGAATTAATTTAACATAGCTTAGCATTCTAAAGCATAAAGAACAAGTAATGCTTATAGACATGTAAACTAAAATACACTCAGAATTGCTTGTAAAACACATAATGTATTATCTCTTGAATATACAGACCAAGCCTTAAGAAGCAATTCCAGTTGGGTTATTGTAGGTTACTATAGCTTTATACATTTTAAGTGAATAAATAAGAAACACATTTTGGTGAAATAATAACAATGCAGAGGATCTCATTTGAAGGGCTAGTTCAAAGTTGATTTACTAAAAGAATATCATTCTTTTCCACTTGGGGCCAGCACTCAGCAATAATCAGAAAGAAAACATGCCTTCATTCATATTCCTCCTCTTCTTTTTTAAAGGTCTGTTCAGGAGTGGCCTACTCTATCTCTAATTTAGAATACCCCAGCCTTGTTACCCAGATGGGAAGGCCTCACTTTGCTCATTCCATCTCACTCCCATTGTCCTTAAAAATCTACTCATTCTTTTCTCAGCATTGAGAGCATCTGGTAAAAGTTGTCCATGCTCACAGGAAAAGGTCACAGCATTTTTTCCTCTATTTTTAGCCAGGCCATCCTCCTAGTAGACTTCTACTATGGTCTCCCAGCAGACTGGATCCACAGGAACAGCTAAATGTTGAGGTCTTCCATCTCAAGTGAGGCAAATAGGAAGATATATGTTATGGCAGAAAGTGTGTTTTGTTACTCATTGGTCCTGCATGTGGTATTTAAGCACAGAATTCCTAAGACTGTCCTATATAAAGGGTCAATCAAAGAGATGTGCCCATTGCTCTAAGGTATTTCTGAAAAAACTTACATATTTCTTATGGTAGATGAAAATTACATGAATCTTATCTTCAGATAGTTTTGGTATTCCCATAAACTTGGAAACTATTTAACATAATCAATTGATTTATATATTTTTTAAAAATCATTTATCATCCTAAATTTAACCCTTTGAATAAAAAAAAAATATATATATATATATATAACAAAATAATTGTTATATAGCTGGACATTAAAATGTACTTGTGTCCTGCCTCTATTAGGTTACATCCCAGGTTGGGGAGCATACAGAGGGCAACCAGTCAATGTTTTTCTCTCACATCGATGTTTCTCTCTCCCCAACTTTCTCTCTCTCTCCTTCTCTTGCTCCCCCTAAACATGCCCTAGAGTGAGGGCTAAAAATAAATAAATAAGAAAATAAATAAGTAAATAAATAAAAAATATATTTATAAATATTATAAATTTCAGTTTATAGTAGACTTTCATTTATAAAGGGTTAAAAATGAGTTAAAATTAGTTGACATAATATAGACAATGATTTATATAATTAAAATTTCCAAGGAGAGTGAAGTCAGGCATGGCTGGATCCAGGAGATCACACATAAATATTAGGATTCGTTCTTATTTTCTTTTATCTATAAGCAGTTTATTGCAGAAACTCACACTTAAATGACAAAAAAGCTTTAGGTTTACATCGACCCTTTCAGCAAACTCTGTTGCAAATTAATGCCTTAATTTGTTAGAGTCTATCACAACAAAGCATTGAGATCTATTTGGACTAAATTGTGTCACATGACCATAACCGAGCTGATCTTTGACTCGGGCACAGACACCCTGACTGACCCTGAGTGACCAGGCCTACGTCACAGGTTCATCATGATTGAGGAGCCACCTCCTCCTGCAGCACATGTTATCTTAGCTGAAAAGAGGAGTTTCCACACAACAGAAATGAAAATGCTTTCCCCAGAAGAAAGCTGGTTTCATTACTTGTAGGGAAAAGCACAGAACTCCACAACACAGCCATATATAGTCACATTTAAAAACATTACTTACTCAAATTGTCCAAACTCTGTCATCAGAATGAAATACAGTATCAGTTTATAGGTAAGTTTGAATGAAACAAGGGTTTAAATGAAACTGAAATAATATTTTTTAACCAGCATCTCCATGTATGAACCCCTCCCCACAATATTTGTCATCTAAAACTTATAATCTAGTATGATTACTATTTTAATAATTATGATGTAAATAAAAATTTCTGCATGCCATAAAATGATACAAGAAATATTCTATCAGTGTTCAGAAATTCATCTAACATTTTTGTATTCTTGTTATGACAGCCAGTAAATCAGGGTTATTTTTCAGGTGTTGCTCCATTTGATCATATCCTACCAGAAAAATTAGAACAGCTTTGGAGAAAATATTTGGAGTAGTTTTCAGACAAAGCTAGGACTTGGGAGATGAGAAACATTCCAAGTGACAGGAAGAGAACATGTCAAGGCACAAAAACATGGAGACATATCAGAAAATTTCTGAGGAAGACTTAGTTGTCTGGCTTTGTTAGCTAGAAGAATAGATAATGGTAGGAGGTCAGGCCAGAAACAGTTTGAGATCCTAATAGAGAGGTCTTGCTGAACACATTATGCCTAAGGATTGTAAATAACAACAATGTTGTTGAGCGTGGAAAATACCTAATTGGAGATCTATATTTTGCTTCTCAGTGGGTTGTTTAGCATCAGGATTTATTAGCTTCTTGCATATACCTCACTATTGGTGACAAATGCCTCAGGCAAGTTTATAGAAATGGTTGCAGTCATTGGAGAGAGTTATTCCTCCAAGATCTGGCGCTAGCCCATCTCCCCAAGCCCCTTGAGGTTCTTAAAAAGGCTGCAATCATCTCTTTTTCTTTCCCTTTTCATTTTATGGAAGTCATTTTTATATGCATGTTTTGTTTATTTTTAGTTTGAGAATAGGTGATAGATACAGTGAGGTTGTTCGAAATAAAAACAAATATAAAACTTTTAGAGAAAAATTTTCTCACATTCTAATTTTTATATACCACATTCATCTCCACCTTAACCAAACAGGCAGCCACATTATTTTTAAATCCTCATTTGAGGATATGTTTTCAGTGATTTTAGAGAAGGAGGAAAGGAAAAGGGGAGAGAAACATAGATGTGAGAGAGAAACATTGATTGGCTGCCTCCTGTACAACCCAACCATGAATTGAACCTGCAACTTTTTGGTGCCCAGGATGAGGCTTCAACCCACTGAGCCACCCAGCCAGGGCGCCAACCACATTTTAATTTTTATTTTTTTAAAATATATTTTATTGATATTTTACAGAGAGGAAGAGAGAGAGATAGAGAGCTAGAAACGTCGATGAGAGAGAAACATCGACCAGCTGCCTCTTGCACATCCCCTACTGGGGATGTGCCCGCAACCAATATACATGCCCTTGATCAGAATCAAACCCGGGACCTTTCAGTCCGCAGACCGACACTCTACCACTGAGCCAAACCGGTTTCGGCAGCATTTTAAAACTCTGT